CCCCGGGCACAATATTTAAAGGAATATTTCATTTTTATTGTTTCGCTTTAAGTGATGTTAAGATCACTGCTGCTTTAAAAATTGTATTTTTTCATTGATACATGTCCCCCAGGCCAGTACCCAAATCCCAACACACTTTGTATGGCCATTAACTTGCAAATAAGCCTTCAAAATTGGGTCAAGCTGATTTTCAAAGTTCTACCCCCATAGACTTGCATTCGAGTTCAAACTTTTTCCATGTTCGAAAGTTTGAATTCTAAACGAACAGGAGGGTGTTTGGCTAATCACTAGTTATTTTTCCCCGTGTTTGAATGACTTTGCTAAGGATACTACTATGGTTTCTTCCCACAACTCAAAAATATCCATTTGCTGATGATTTCAGCCTTTTTCAACCACTTCCTGTCTATGTGCACTCATTCATGAGACAGTTGATGATTAGCTGCACATCATGGCTCTGGATTAACTAACTGATGGGGCAACAGTGGACCATGCCTGCAGAATGTATGTCAGCAGGGCCCCTTGTACTCTTCAACAAGGGTGCATGGGATATGTGACTCGAGCAGTGGAGTGCCCCAGTCACACACCCCCTCCCCTTTATTACTTGCCCATTCACAAAATGTCTTGTATTTTTTTTAAAAGAATACAAGCCATTTTGTGATTGGAGGAACAGAGGAGTGGCAGGGATGCGGCATTATCTCCATTCCATTCACAGAATGCCTTGTATTTTATATGAGCCCTTAACACTTAAGGGTTCATGCACACAGCCAGCCATAGAGATTAATGGCTGGATGAGGATGTACATGGATATATGCTGGATGCACATAAACAAATGTATATGTATGGATGCACAACAATGAAGGCTATCCCCACTCAGGGGTGTGCATCTATATGCATGCGCGTGTTTACACATGTCTAATATATACCTACGTACATGTGCATATGGTTATTGATTTCTATGGGTGGCTGTACACAGTTCCAGTGGCTCTCGGGTGGAGAAATACACTCAAATTTACACTGCACATCCCCAGGCCAAAAACTGCAACATTTTACTCTCATTCCCCACACACGCACACTTAACCCCTAAACTGATGCTTTAACTCTTAACCTCTCTAAACATAAATCCCTAAACAGAGTCCTTAAAGTCACTTTAATAACAAAAAAAGCTGCTGAAAGGTATAAAAGGGCAGGCATCTAGAAGTACCTGTACATACCTACAACAACAGTCAGTGCCAACCCTCTGCCACAATAGTGGCCCATTCTGTTTGGTCAAAGCTTTGGCACTTCCTTGTAGTGTTGAAGCTTGCTTGCTCCCCTACTGCCGCCTATGCATCTCTATAGGCCATTGAGACAGCCCATCATAGTGATGGGCCAATAGGAAGGTTGGGGTGCCAAGAGGGACCAGGAAGTGTCAGAGTTTTGCTTATCAGAATGACCCTGCAATAAAGACATGGCATTGTAGAAAATTGTCCTTTGTATCATGACTTTGACATGACTCAAGAATAGATCATATTTAAAGAGCAATTCATGCAAATATCCACGTAATTCCAATTAAATCACAACTTTTCATAATTGTATATATTTAATATGCCAAGCCATGTCTAGTTGAAAGAAAAAATATCAAGCTTAATCAATAAAGCAGTGTAAGTAACAATGATTGTGTTGTAAGTGCAGTAACCATTGAAGCAACCCATCATATTTCACCATACCGATATAAGATCAGTTAATTCGGATTAGTTACTATAGGTAATTGCATTTAGTTCTTTGCCTTAGTGAATGAGCCTATGTGTTGTTGCCAAACTGTTATGTTTCCAGAACAGACATAAAACATTTGTTATGCAGTTATAACATTATCTGGTTGTATTGTTTCCTGTCTCCACTATAAGTTTAGCTTCCTAGTTATTATTCAAAAACAGTCCTGTAATAGTTATACACACAAGCATGCACACTTACAAACATAAACAGGAACTATAAAGATAACACAAAACAGACTGAATATTTACCATTGGCTAAGATCGGGGCGCTAGGAGTCTGATCGGAGCGTCTCTCCCCTGTTTACAAGAGAGTGGTCTATCAGTAAAATCAAACCAGTCTGAGTAAAAATTACATCTTTATAGAAGTGAATCTACTTTTATTGTTTTTCTACAGTTCTCTTCAAAATGGACACTACTGGGGTAATTTGATTGAGAGCATGTAAAAGAAAATAGGGAATAACCACAAGGGGTAGAGAGGGACAACTACACCTGGGTCCATAAAGTCATGAGACACACCATGCCTGTTACACGTTCTATTTGTGTACTCCTACGTTGTTCTATAAGGAATAAAGTATGACCTCTTACCCATGTATTTAGCAAAGGACTTGTTTTGTTTTTTTACTGCAATCTGTAGTCAACGTGACAATAATGGAGGTAAAATGTCTCTAATAAAGCTCCAGATTGCAGTAAAAACAGGGGGTCTAACTCTTTCCCCTATAAAAAAAAAAGATGGACATACACTTTAGATTTTACACCAAGATTGTGTACACTTAAAGTATTACTAAAAGAGAATAAAATATGTTTGTGACAATATTTCTGATTTTGTAATGGTAATTTGCCTTCAGGGCACCCACAAATTAGCTGCTGTGAGCAGGGATGTAAATTTAAATATGTTTTGTTTATATGGCAGCACTAAAATGGTTTGCTTTAAGCCCTCATTCACACGAGAAATGGATGGATCCTGCCTGCGTCTGAGCCGGACACCCGTACGGATGTGGAGTTCGGGTGAGCGTAGGTAGGCGTACGGCCACATACTCCCATAGAGAAGGACAGGCTGCTATGTACAAATCACACGCAGCACGTGTCCTTCCCGGGAGCGGCCCGATACGGCCATGCACTCAGCGCGGATCTGTACGGGCCAGCTGTTTCTCGTATGAATGAGTTGAAGGGGTTCTCAACTAGTAAAATAGCCAGCATTACCTGTAGGGAAGTGCCTGCAGAATTATTACCCAAAGATCTTTATTTTTACATAGTTACAGGATATATAAACCCAAGAACAAAAATGTAATATATTGCAGGATATCAGTTCTTGGATGTGGTGGCTGCATTAGGTTTTTACGACTATGAACATTTTCAGCAAGTAAAGAAAATACCTGCTGATCAACATGCAAGATCCTTGTTACTTCCTTTGAGCACTGAAAGCACAAACAATGCTATATTCCTTCTGTAAATTACTAATCCCCCACTCCGATGTAAAGGGGCGGGAAAGATAAAACCATGTTTGCAGTCACTCCTGGGTGATAACCATCGCTCCCCCCACATATACAGTGGAGTGAGTGTAGCCACCGTGGGGTACAAAGTGTGTTATTCACAGGATAACAAGGTGAAACTAAAGGTAAAAAGGGAAATCAAATCATCCACCTCTGCTAAGGACTGGTTAGCTGCAATATATAAAATTTTTGTTTTCAGGTTTAGATACACTGTAACCACTTCAGCTCTCACACCTGAACACGCCTATGGACCAAAGTCATTTTTACATTTCTGTTATAGGCCTGTTTATTTAGCAATAACTTTATTACATAAGATAAAAAAAAGTAATACATATATTGTTTTTAGAAACAAGGCTTTATTTTGTTGATATTGTCTTGCAAAAATGTTTATGCAAGCCAAAGACCAAAAAAGTAACAAGACTGAAAAAGTCCCTTTATGTAATTTAGTCTATGTAAACCAATTTTATGTCACTGTGGATAACAAGTACATTTTATTTTCTAATTTGTTCTCTTTAAAATGATACTAAAAATATGACTTAATGCAACACTAAAAAAATAAATGAGCAAAATAAATCAAAATGAAAAAAGTTGAAATATTAATGGTTAGAAAAAAAGAAATAAAGCTGTAATAGCTGCTGTAGTTACGCAGCAATTGTCGTCAAATGCTAGATGGCGAATCGCAGCGGGGCATACTACATCAATCCTGTGTACTTTGATGATTTTGTTTGAATGTGTGTAGCACACCCAATTTACTAAACTGGTTACTCAGTGGGAAGTGGGTGGCCACGTTGGCAGCCTTCCTCCTGACATCGTTCTATCAGAAAGCCGGAGGAGCCAGTTGGAAAATTCTCGGCCAAATAGTGCCTTCATCTAATCAGTTATAGTCACTGTTCAGGTATTCTGACAGCGGCATATGACCAACACTGTCAGCATACAATAGCCCAGCAGGAGATTCGTCCATCCATGCTGTTTAATGTGGATGGAGAATCCTGCTAGATTTGTTTTGTGTATGACCAGTTTTAGAATCTAAGTATAAAATGCATTTAAATGTAATCTCTTTAAAAAATAATGATATATACTTTTATAAATACATTATAAACTGTGTTTGGGGTATTGTTTGATTTTTTAAAAATCTTTGATGTATCTCGTGGCTACTACTCTAAACTCAAGAAAGGTAAAATTTGACCGATAACTATGGGTTAAACTACCTTGCACACCATCCTTTTTTGTGCACTGCAAACCCTACTATGGCTAGGAGCTTTAATGGAATTAACTATGCCCTATTTTTTCACATTTGAAACATCAAAAGCATTACATCACAAACAAACCACTCATCCATGCTCAGCATTCCTGCAGAAATTGCTTACCTGTTTGAGTACCATCTTGGGAGGACAAATCACAAATACTAGCAAAGGGAACTATTATTACATACACAAGCAAACATCTTCTCTTACAGAACTCCATATGTATGATTGTTTTTTTTGATCAGTCACTGGCATCAGTGGAAAAACATGCATTCAGTGTCTTGAGAATGTGTGATTCCAACAAAATAAATTGCTATTCTAACATGTGTACAAGTTTTTCTTAAATTATGTGTCACATGTGGGGGTGTGCAGTGCTGGCTTTTGTTGCTTTATACATGTTTATTCACTGTTATACTGGAATTGCGGTGAATTTCAATAAAGTCTGAAGTATTGGAATTCTCTGGATAGTGCGGTCTGATCATATACTGCTAGGACCCAATTTGTGTCGCGGATGTGTTTGGGATAGCTTGCCACATGACTGTGCAAGTGTAGCCTGGTTTGTCCAAGCATGAAATCAATGGTGAGTAGGGATTAGCTCAGGTTTTGACAGAACCTGGTCCAAACCTGAGCTCCTCCAAAGCTGAAAGGAACTCCTCCCGAACACAGAAGAAAGTTTCTTCCATGATGTAAGAAAAGGGGCGGGATACAGTAACATAATTGACCTTATATGGTTTCATGCCTATATTTGGTAAAATACATTTTTCTAATATGGCTATGTGACCAGATTAGGTAAATGACCTCAGCACAAGCATTCCACTCCTTTGTGTACATGCTGTGGGGCGGTGAATGCCTGGCCTGCAGATGATTGGTTGGAAGTACTCATGGCAGTTCCTTGTTCAGAGAAGCTCAGGTTCAGACCGGAATCAGTCCAAACTTGAGATCATCCATAATAGTGTCAGGTAATTTATCACACTTTATCTATGTTTCAAACCATATATGACTGTGATCTGAGATGTAGACTTTAAACAATGTGGATGGCAGAAGTAGGCTATACACAATAGGGGAAATGTATCAAAAGTGGAGCAGACAGAATCTGGATCAGTTGCCCATAGTAGTTGCAGTCTGTACCCAGGTGCCGCCACTGGAGGGGTGACACCAAAATGACTGGCAGTCATTTTGGTGTCACCCCCTACGAAAAGTCGGTCACGGACTGAGAGCCCGACAGTGTCAGGAGAGAGGAGGGGACTCGCTGGCATACCTCATCCCGCCGGGTTAACGTCCCCTCCTCTCTCTGCTGTCGTTCATCATCAAGATGGCCACCGGCAGGCATCAATAAGACGACCGTGCATGCGCGATGACATCACGGCGGGGTGTCACCTGGTCTCCGCTCTGGGTGACAACTAGCCTTTGGACGACCCTGGTTCTATGGCCATTTATATTGGTATTTGTTTGACTTTGCTGACATTTTGGTAATAGTTGCTCTTCTTGGGTCTCAGCATGGCAACAATGTAGGTCCTTGGATTTAAGGTTTTAAGAGCCTCTGCTCTCTACTAAATAGGCCTAATGTGGTACATTAGTTTTTGGCTCTGGCAGCCTGGTATTGCTAGTTCTGAAAACCAGTTAAATTCTAAAAAGTTTTGCTTACTGCTTACAAACAGTAAAGCGTATCACACCCTTAAAACAGAAATACACCCTCCTATCCCTTACAGCCAAGGAAGGTGCCATCTTAGCCTCTATTTGGATTGCAGTTGCCAAGGAGCTGCACATGTGATCAGCTGTGACACCAGCCCTTTGAGGGCTTGAAAATTCGGAGCAGAGCTGAAATAAGCCCATTGACAACCTTGACCGTTGGCATGCCTTGAAAGTGACTGTTTTGGAATGTCATTAAATTAGTGGCTAAAGTTCCTATTTAAAGTGCATTGATAGGTCTTTTTTGGTTTTGGGTAGAGTGGTGATGGGTTAGGACTGCTGTCAGATTTTATGTAGATTCACTCAATCTTGATTTGTCCCATTGACCATTTTCACCAGAACTGAAAAGGAGTGAAAATCCTAAATTTTAGATAGAAGAATAGCACTAGAGGTGAAATCATCCTTAAGAGACAGCTGTCCAGATGACATCTGTCTAGGAGGGGCAATTTCCTCACACATTAATGTTGTGTCTACAGGATAAAAAGTACAGGGAAACCTTCTCCATGTGACACAAATTGCACACAAAAAAAACCTCTTCCTAACTGTATCATAAATGGAAAATGTTTTACTTTAGATAAACTTTTACCCTCGGTTTAAAACGTAACCCCTAAAGAATTATCCGAACTCGAAAGCTGGTCATATTTATTTTCTCATTCAGCCCATAAAAAAACCCCTAAACTCTTGTTTCTTCCCTCAGGGGTTACTGTATGGCATCAGCGGGTGTGCCACTGTCAGAATACCCCAACAGTGACTGCAGTTGCCTGGCTGCTGTCCCTGTTCGCTCTAGAATTTTTGGCCTGGCTACATCGTCAAGGGACGGTGTCAAAAATTGTCTGAAATCTGTCCAAGTCAGCAGGACTCAACTAAAATGTAAGCAGTGTATGGCCAGCTTTACTTGCCCTCCAACACCTAACCACTAAAATATCACCTCAACTGTGTCCTGTAATGACATGGAGGTTGGCGGGAGAAACACTAAGTGCTGCAGAGGACACAAGAGAAGTGCTGGGTTCTGCACAGACTTCAGGGAATAAGTTATCTGCAACAGAGCCATGTTTGGCTGCATGGCCAGCAGCAAAGGTGAAAATGTACCTATTAGCCATTTTACGTGGAACTGTTGCTTTGTCCTGCAACCTAACCATATCTAGCAGTGAATACTTTTAGAACTACCCTTTTCTATTGAAAGTGTCCCATGGCAGGTCCTTATATTGGCCTTGCTGATATGTAACAGCCCAGATATTCATTTAATACAATGATTCACATCTACTGTATAGGAACTAGATAGAAGTATAGGAACTAGATAAAAGTACATGTGTTATCTATACCAAACAATCTGATATCCTGCACAGAGAAGCTAAAATTGCCATAGTTGCAATGGGAAAAAGACACATTCTCTTTGTTCTTGTTTCTTTACTCATCTAATTCAAAACTAGGCCTATTTTATTGTATAGGTGTGCAGCAAGACATAAAAAAAAAACAGTCTCCTTATTTGACTTTGTACAGATCATTTAAGCTACTATTGACAGCTAAAGAAGCTTCCTAGATTTATTCAGAAGTGCCATACACATTTCATTGAACAGATTGTAAATATGTACAGGAACATTGTACTAAATATATGTAATAACTTGTACCGGGTGAGATCCACCCAAGTTAAAAATATGCATTTGAGGTCCCCTGGCAAACCTGATAATTACAATAGTTTGTTGGCAATACATCTGTCCCACACCAATCTCCCAGGGAAAACAAGGAAGAGAGATAGGTAATTAGTAAACTAGTGTTGTTGAAGCCCATACACTTGCTATTTGCACAGCACCATCTAGTGGCCAAAGGAGACAAGCACCTCCCTTTCATGTCAGAAAAGATGTTAGGGAAGCCAAGTTTTTGCATGCCTAGGATCCCCAGCAATGACATACTGAGAAAGAGAAGGGACCACACCGAATTACTGGATTTGATCAGTAAGCTGTATCTGAGGGACTGTTACATCAAAGTTGACTCCAGAAACAATGTTTCCAAATAGCCAGGATAATTGTTTCTCTGAAAGACATGAAGACAGCTTAGATATAAACTTTACTTCCTGAGAGTTCTTCTTTAAAGATGATGACATTTTAAAAGCATCAGTTATAAGCCAGCATCACTGTTTGTGCCATTTTCAAGTGACTTTAGAGGAAACTTTGTTATGTTTTTTGTCTTTATGCATGATAATCAATTCATACAGTTTTTTTTATATTATAGTCTAAATGGTTTCAGGGAAATTACACAAATATTGATAGAAAAATTATATGTGTGGCATGCGCATCAATACCCCAGTATTTATTTCCTATGCTCATTATTCATACAAAACAAACGTTCACAGATATTTGCATGGCAAAGGTTGTATATAAATACACCCCCATAGATCTACTAAAATAGTTACATCACACAAGGGCCTGGCTTGAACAAAGGGAAGATATCCTATGCGTTTTCCCAGGACAGCATGATGTTTAAAAATGGATGGCCCTGCTACAGACCTAAAGGCTGGGAGCTTCAAACAATAAATCAGTGATTGCTGAGTTAATGGAAAGATTTTACAAATTATTTTTTTCATGTAATACAGATCTATACATATTCACAGCCCAACCTATAAAACATAACTTTCATTATAATGTAAAATTCACACATCTTATTTACTTTCTTATTCTCTTGCTTATGTCTGTTTTTTTATGATTACATACTTATCAGTACCAAGGACAAGGAAAAACATTTCTGTTTCCTTCAGTTCTATCCTTTACTTCCTTGTTTCCTTTCTACCTATCCTTTACTCTTCTAAGGTAGAATTGAAACTAAAACTTGTTTTTAGTTTTGGATAGAGTAAGAGAGGGTGGTAACCTCTGGCAGCTTTATTTTGTCATCTGTGTCCCATTAGGGAGATTTCCCTTTCACATCCGGTGAATGGCCACAATAGGAAGTGAGGGGAAATCCCAGGCGATCAGCAGTGTTATTAGAACTAGTGTCCCCAATGGAATTTTTCCATCTATTCCTGGTCTGGTGACAAGCCAAAACTTGGGATTTTCATTAAATTTCAGTAATAATGGTCAATAGGACAAATAGAGAGGGCAAATCTCCGTAATGAGGACACAGACAGCAATAAAAACCTGACAGCAGTTCTATTCTGCCTTGCAGCACTAGGTGTCCCCAATTCGAATCCTGATCAGGTCACTATCTGCAACGAGTTTGCATGTTCTCCCTGTGCTTGCGTGGGTTTCCTCCCACACTCCAAAGACATGCTGGTAGGTTAATTGGCTCCTCTCTAAGTTGGCCCTCTATGTATGCATGTGAGATAGGGACCTTAGATTGTAAGCTCCTTGAGGGTAGGGACTGATGTGAATGTGCAACTATTTGAAGTGCTGCGTAAATTGTTGGCGCAATATAAATACCTGTAATAAATAAATAAATACAATAATCCCTCTTCACACTAAAAGTTTGGGCTTCAGTTGCACTTTAAGTTATTTAACAGTTATTTAACTTCACAGAATTGTTAGAATAGGTTTACAGAGACAGCAGCAAAAAAATTATAGGTGTTCTAATCCTTCTCTACTCAATCCAAAACTAAAAAAAGTGTTGCTTTAGTGGCACTTTAATCCTTAAGATAAAAGGGAGCTGAAGGGAAAGGGAGCTGAAGGGAAAGAGGACACATTCGACCTATAAAGATAATATACAAAGAATATTCACAGATATTTGAAGGGCAAATGGTCCTTCCTGTTAATAGTTTATAAATAGACTCATAGATTTATTAAAAATAATCACATGACACAAGGGGCCTGGCTTGTAAAAAAAAAAAAAAAGGAGTAATGATCCAGGTGTGCCTAGGACAGCATGATGTTTACAATTGTCCCTGCTATAAACCTAAAGGCTGGGAGAGTCAAACAAAAATTCAGTGATTACTGAGTTCATGGGAAGATCTACATTTTTTGTTCATGTAATAAAGATCTAAACATACTTTATTTAATGATTGACATATAGAAAGTTTGCAGTCAGTTTTTATAATAAAATCTAGAAAACAAGCAAAGCAATGAAATGATGGTATTGCAATGTAAAAATAGTGTGTCCACCTTCTACTTCTCTTACCTATGCAAGTTTTGCCATCGGAATGCAAAATAAATTTGACATGGCAACCACATCGCGGTCCGTGATCGGTGTCGTCACATGTGTGCTGACAGCCACCATTACCATAGTTACAGGTTACTAAAAACATAAACAACAATATTCAGTGTAGAGCATAAATATTCATTACAAAAAGATAAATATTAACTACCACAAGTTAAAAATACATGTGAAACCTTTTTCTCAGAATGTTCAGAATATGAAAAATAAACACAATCTGACCCCGCTATAATGTTTATTTGCTAGCTCTTTATGCCAGTAACGAGTTTAAAACATAGGAAAAAGTAAAATAACATATTATGAAATGTAGCTGAAATTTTGTTTATTGTTTCAGATAATATTTCCTAGAAGAAGATAGCAACATTGTTGTACAAAGGAAAAATAAAGCTTTACCATAAGTAGTTTAGCGGGTAACAATGATCTTTGGTTAATTTTATTTTACTTTCTTTTTTTTTTTAAACTGATGCTTCATATACATATGTTTACATTATTATATACATATGTTTACATTATTTGTATGAAATCTTGCTTTTACAGATAAACATTTATTATGGTTGCTACTATGACATACAATTGCCAAAGTATGCTGAACTTTTTCATAAGAATAAAGCATACAGGCAGTGAAGGACTTTCTAATAAGAAAGCCCAGCACTGGCTGCATGGTTTTTGTCAGGCTGCATGAATTGATTAGTTGATAGAAGCCTATGATGAGAGACATAGATACGCTGCCCTTGCAGATCTCCTAAAAAATGCTAATTGACCTAGTACAAGTATGTACTGTACAAGTATGTACTGTGCAAGTACAATTAATTCGGGGTGAGATCAAAACTCATAATATGTTTAGTTGCTCTAATAGTTAGGTAACTAGCATTTTCAGGCATGGTAGTCAGCAATAGCAATGTCTATATTTCTCTCAGCACAGATTTCCTATAAGACACTGCCATTCTGCCAGGATAGAGGTGTATCTGCCATTGATATTTTTTTTTTATGCAATAGTTGCAAAATAATCCTTCACTTTTCTCTAACTGTTATTTATAGCTCCACCTGCTGCTGGTAAATCTGAAATGTTCATACAGTATGCAAAATTTTATCTGAAGATAAATGTTACTTGGGTAAAGAAACAAGCACACATACATTTGCAGTCTTTTTGATTTCCTGTTAATTCAAAGCCCGGTCGACATTCACAGGACACACCCTTTGGAGTTTCTCGGCAAATATGTGCACATCCATGGTTCCTGTTCATGCAGAGGAAGCCTTCTGATAAACGGGAGATAGGGGAAAATTTCAGAAGTAGGAAAGGAACAGCAAATCTATGATAAAATGTTACTTTGTTTACAATAGCTGCTTGTAACGTTTAAGAATATGTAGTATGTGGGTAAAAGCAGTAAAGTCCCATACCGTGTTAGCCACTGATTAATGCTGAAAGTTTGAGTGATACCCTTTACTGGCTTCATAGGGGGGTTTTTATTAACACCCGTATGTTATAGCAATAAAGTTTAGTGAAAAAAAAAAAGGAAAACAAAATTTAAGTTCCCCCCCAAAAATTTTTTTAAAGTTACACATAAAAAAAGAATAAAAAACCCCAAAAAATGTTAAAGTCCCCACCCATACATACACGCATGCAAACATGCGTCGGGGGCGCATACGTGCAAAAAAGACGATTGCGCCCATTACGTCGCACATGTTACATATCGCCGCGAACGTTGCAGTAAGAGCAATAATTTTAGGGCCATCATTTACTGATTACACTAAACTGATGAGCGGTAAAAGCTTTTAAAGTGTCGCCTATTCACTGATAACACTAAACTGATGAGCGGTAAAAGCTTTTAAAGTGTCGCCTATGGCCAATTTTGGGTATGCTAGTTTTCTGCGATTTCGCGGGTGCGCGCAATTTTAAAGCTTGACATGTTTGGTGTCTATTTACCCGACGTGACCCGATCTTTTATATTTTACCAAAAAAACTGGGTAATAATAAATGTTTCCTAACATAATGTAAACAAATGTAGTAAAAAATAAAAACCCCATTATTTAAATACCACCAAAACAAAGCTCTGTCCCCAAAAAAATGGTATAAAATTAATTTCAGTACAGCGTTACATGACGGAATAAAGGTCAGTCAAAGTACTGCAGCGCTGAATACTGAAAAATGGCCTGGCCAGGAAGGGGGTCTAAAGACCTGGTCTTCAAGCAGTTAAAGGATTTTTTCCCCTCCCCCCAATGTTAGTGTAGGGACTTCCCTTAAGTGATGCCTCTTAATCTGATTATCTTCTTCCTTACTGTCGTTTTTAGTTGTCCCTCCAGCACTGATGCGGTCCTCTGATGCAGCGCTGACTCCTCTGTCCTCCTCTTCTCTCATGTCCCACGGAGTCTGTGCGGGTGCACGCTGCTCCATAGACTTACCTTGTGTGTCTCCTCGTTTCCCGGCCGAACATCTGAACTGCGCATGCAGTAGACCCTTTATTGGCTATATCTTAAATTATTAAAGATGCAAGCTTTCGGGGTTTGCTGGGCACCTTCTTTAGGCTTCATGAACCAAATAGGTCCCAAAAGCTTGCATCTTTAATAAATGAAATTAGCCAATAATGGGTATCACTCAAACTCCAAACTTTCTATGCAATAGTAACCATAAATATACAAGTAATGTAAGAAATTTCAACTTTGCTTTGTAACCTGGTATTCTGAATGTGCCAACAGGCAATGATCTAATGACTTTGAGTTACTGACTGAGGCTTATCTGGTTACAGGGTCAGGGCAGGAAAGAACACTTTTGATAGGCTGGTGTAAAAAGTATCTGCAGCATTTTCCTGTCTGCCTTTTGCCTAGACCTAAATAAGAATGGTTGCCAGATGCAACTATTTCTGGTAATTTTTTGAGAGCACTTGGATTGTGCCAGCATACACAGCCCTCTTCTACTGCCTTCTGAACATACCTTCTGGACGCTGGATACATGTATGTTGGTTGTCACTGAGAAAGAATCCTTCACGACAGCGGCACTCATAGCTCCCCATCATATTGACACATATCTGCTGGCAGCCCCCATTGCCTTCCATACATTCATCTAAATCTGTAAGAAGAGGATAAGAGAAATTGAAGTACAGTAGTTGATAATATGAATCATAACTGAACCCAATGAAGGATAAAATGAATAATAATTTGTACTACTTTATTCATCATAGAAAAATGTAAATGTGTCTTATGCAAAATAGAGCACTTGAACAGCCAAGTAGACATGTCACCCCACAAACAATTTGTCTTGTTTAGGAATGATTCAGATCTTTATTTATTTCTTTCATTTTTCGGATTTCGAATCAGATTTGGTTTGATTTTCGGATTTCCTATGAGTCTGAATTTTCATTCCATATGACCATGCCTGTAATGCAACCCCAACAGCCAAAAAAAGTCTGAATGGCCAGGGAAATGTCACATGTTCGATTTCGTCTCTGAATGGCCAGAGAAGAGTCACATGTCCGATTTATTTTGATCGAAATTTGGACGGATCCAAATTTTCGTTTCACGAACATTTGGATTCGAATTCGGACATGTTAATAAAATTCATACCAATATCCATTTGGAACTAAACAAAATGTACCTGTCTACTGGCAAGTATTTTACATGTAATCTTAAAAAATCATGATTTGGTAGTAAGCTATGGACTTCCACATTGGGCTTCTGCATTTTGAATATTATCTTTTACCATATTATAGAAGCCTGGGGAAATACAGCCCCTGTGCTTTGCCTACCTATTAAAAGTAACTTATAACTATAAACAGATCTACTTGTTTTTATAACAATAATATATTGTTGAAAGCATAATCACTGTTATACCTCCAATATTTACACTGTTCTTACGATTTAGCAGATGTATGGCTCTGTGCAAGTACATTTCTCTCTATTATCTACTGACTTCCTAAGGTTATCCCATGACAGTGATGGCAAACCTATAGCACGCGTGCCACAGAGCACGCAGAGGCCCCTCTGGTAGCACGCGTGCCTAGGTGTCGGTTGCCTGGGCCTGCACACTCCAGGTTCTCACTATGGGTGCTCTGTGCGGGCCTCCGGTGTTCCATGGGTCTCCAAGTCACATTAAGTTTTCTCGTGGAGGCCATCTTTAAACCTGGCAGGTGCCCAGATCATATTTAATATATTGCCGAACCAGCAATATATAAAATGAAGATCATCTTGTGGTGGTCCAGTGAAAGATCAGTATGATCTGCATCTCCTGCTTATACAGACCATACTAATTGCTCCCTAGTGGGTTCGTCACTCACAGGAAGGAGCGATTAGCATGGTCTGCATCAGCCAGAGATGCAGATCACACTGATCCTCCACTGGACCACCAGGATAATCCCCAAGTTCCCCACTGGACCCCAGGGATGCAGCCCCCTCCCTGAAAAACAGGTAAGCAGGAGAGGGGGCAATTTTTTTAATTATTATACATTTTTATTGTTAATAGTTGTGTGTGTTTTATGAGTGTGTGTGTTTTATTGAGTGTGTTTTTAATGAGTGTGTGTGATGTGTGTGTTTTTTGATGAAGATATGTGTGTGTGTTTTTAATAAGTGTGTGATGTCTGTGTTTTAATGTGTGTGTGATGTGTGTTTTAATGCATGTGTGAGGTGTGCATTTTAATGCGTATGTGATGTGTGTATTTGTTCGTGTGTGTGTTTTCTAATGAGTGTGTGATATGTGTGTTTTTTTAATGTGTGTCTTTTTTAATGAGTGTGTCTTTCATTACGTGTGTGATGTGTGTTTTATTGAGTGTATGAATATTTGAATATGTGTGTCTCCCTATTTTGCCTAAGGCAGTGATGCTGAAAAATTTGTAATCCCCAGTGCCCAAACTGCATGCAATATCAAACTTATTTTCAATGTTGGCACTTTGAGATAAATACTTTGATTTTGCATTGCAGTTTGGGCACTCGAGTTCAAAAACATTAGCCATCATTGTCCTATGATATATAGAAGCATCTACCCTGGATACTGTTAATAGCACTGGTCAATTAATCACATTAATGCCTGTTTATAAGTGGTAATTTTCCATTAATTCCATGAAAAATTAGTTTTATTGGTGTTCAAAAGGTAAAGAAAGATGCAGCAATATAATAATATATATATTTAAAATAGTAACTTGTACCAGAGTATGCTAGAAAGGTATACTTGCCAATTCTAGGGAGAATAATTATAATACAAAGGACAGAGACCTGCTGCCGAATGTGACAATATAGATAACATGGTACCATTAAACTATATCTAGAGCCAACACTTTTTTTTCCAGTTTGGATAGAGTAAGGTATGGTTAAAGCTGTACTTTTTTGCTATCAGTGTGTTATTAGGGACATTTTCTTCCACTTACTGTCCTGTAGACTCCACAGAAAGTGAGGAAAGTCCCATCTTAGACAGCTCAGACAAGTGTCCCCATTGGAAGATTTCCCCTCTAATTCTGTTCTGGTGGCAATTCAAAATTTTAGCTTTACCCTTACATTGCGGTGACATTGGTAATCAGGACAAACAGAGAAAATGTCTCTTCCTAGTAGAGACACAGACATCAATATAAACCTGACAATTGTTCTAACCCCTCACCACTCTGTCCAAAATTTTAAAAAAGTGCCTTTAATTATAATAACCTTAATACAGTGCTGACACAGCATCCGCCTGAAGAGAGGGTAATATCACTATCTAGCTGAAAAACTGAGTCAAAGTCAAAAAAATTGGAATAGGCATAATTAGGATATAGGATCACTAGAAATCCTTGAGAATTGAGTGATTGACATGGTTACTGAAAGTTGATATTATTCCTTGCAGCCAAAGCCTATGAAAATGCAGTTATATTTAGTCCAAATGCTCTCCAAATTCATTGTTGGACATAAACTTTCATTTTTGATTATGAAAGTGAACGTTAACATTTGTTCCTTACTGGACAGAAATGTGGATTTAAATGCTGGCCAATATGTTTCTTGGTTGAAAGTTAAGGTCACTGTATAGTAGGGTGTGTTTTGGGTTTAGGCTGTTCCACTTTGATAAAATCTTAGAAATACAGTTATACGTTTAATATTGATTGCATTTAGCACAAGGTCATTGCCACTAAATGTCCAGGTTGTCTAATGTGACCATATTCTATAAAATTTTCTATTCATGGCTTCAACTTTTTACTGGTCTCCAGTGGCCCAACAACAGAAAATGCCTTTGGACTGGTACTAGGGTAATTTCAATTAATTTGAAATGGAATCTAATTACTGTATGTGGACTCTAAGAAACAAAAGCTATTGAAACTAAGGGAGAAAGATTGTTGTGGACTTTTAAAATCTATCTGATTATTTTTTTTTAAAAGCTGAGAGAAAGTTTCCAAACCTACAATGTATATGTCTATCATTAAAGTGAATTTTATTTTTCTGCTATGCTTTCCATATATGTTCCAATTTTGGAAGACTTCCTTCAGCTCTTACTTAGAAATTAAACCTCCAGGAAAATTAATCTTTCACAATATACCACCCATGGTTTCAATGATTTATTAGTTTTGAGCAATTAAAACAGCTGTGTAAATTGTTTTAAACCCCTGATAACAAAAAGTACTTTTCCTTTGTTTTCCTTACCAATTTTGATTATTTGGTTTCTCGTTTCAGTTCCATTACATGGTTTTTTTTTAAGCACATCTGATGGTAGGCTTCCAAAATTACAATTTGTATGGTATAAAAACGGTCTATAAATCCATTACCTTAATATTACAGCTTGCCAAGGATTTGTATGTGTCAGATTAAACATACTTGTACATACCTTTTATTAATAAAAAAAACATCTTGGACTCTGCTATCACTTTCTTGATTGTTACTGGAATCAAGACTTGTAGTTTTCTGTGGGAGCAGCCTAACCTGAATGCGTGAACATCCTAAATGAGAGAATCATCTCCAATATTGGATATCAAGGGCAAGACCTCTTAGCACCTCTCCTTCTACATAGATATTAGCCTCCCATGCACATACCCTATCCCCTCTAACCCTGTATGTATTTATCCTATTATAAATTAGTTAGACATAACACTATGGATTAATTTCTTTGTGTTCACATGGCATGTCTGTTTCTTACATGCTGTGATAATATTATGCAAATATATACCAAATAACTTTTAATTGCTAAATAAAAAATACAAATTCTCTATAAGTTCATAGATCAAGTACACACCTCTGGTGAGATCAAACAACTAAGCTGGCAATTATAGTGTCCCAAGGGTGTTTGGATAGAGGAAACCTGGAACAGAATCAGCAGGCAAGGCAACTGACAAATGGGATGTGACTTATAATGATATTGAAGAGCTGAAATCCTAGGCGTTGGCTTTAATACAAGGAAAATCACACCATCCCTAAACTAAGAATCACATAACAGATTGCAAAAAACAAGTAGAATAACATCACAAGAAGCACTATATGTACAAATATCAAGGATGCAAATGAGATCTTACTCATGCAGTACATGACTTCAGAAGCATATTCCGATCTATAGGTTACCTTCAGGTGCAATAACAAAACCCATCTATACTATTGGCATACATAAACCCAACTAAGATTAATGGACTTCCATACTTTATTGCTATCGATTCTTGGAACATTGGAATATCAGTAGTATAAAACATGCATAGCATATGCCTGCAAGTCTCTGCTGTATGGTGCTGCAGATCATTAGGTAATTGCTTACATTTTTAGCAGCCTTTGAGAGACGAAGAGTAATCCAACTGACTAGAGCTCCTTCTCTATTGTATGTAAAAAAAATGCTGATGTTTACTGTCACAGACAATATTCTGCATGTACACACACACACACACCTAAAAACCGAGACCCCTGATACAGTGGGCTCACCAAGTTCAACTATGCTGACACACTTATTCACTTTCCAGAGAGCCTGTGTGAAGAGACACAAGCTATTAGAAAAGATTGATGCTATGGAATCTGCACCTATGTAAGGGTGGACCACATTTTCTCTTAAAGAAGATAGGGTTAGCCTCACTGCACCAGTCATTAGCTACTTCCCTTTTCTGCTATATGGATCTTCTTCCAGCACTTTTTTTTTACCAGATA